CCTGCCTAATCCTTCTTTCTACAATTTTCTCCCAAATTTTTATAGTATGGGACAGTATCTTTATACCTCTGTAATTTCCGCAATTATGTACATCCTTTTTACCTTTAAAGATCGGCACAAGAATGCTCTTCTTCCATTCATCTGGGATCTTCTCTTGCTGCCAGAGTTTTTTCATGAGGTCCCGAGGATATCAATTCCACCTTACCCAAATCTCTCCAGGCCTCAACCGGAATCCAATCAGTGCCTACTGCTTTCCCCGTCTTCATTTTCCTAAGCACACTTTCTACTTCTCTGCTAATATCTTGCACCACTCCTTCATTCGCCTCTCCATTCTCGTATAAAGTTCTAAGGTTTTCTTCATTCAATAAATTCCTGAAATATACTTTCCATCTTTCCTTGACCCTTTTGTAATAATGTAATATCACTCCTTTATCATCTTTAATCAGTTTAATAAAGGTAAAATCTTTTGATGTCTTATCTCTTGCTTTGGCAATTTTCATCAACTGCCTTTCGTCACTTTTCCTTTCGAAAACTCTCTTATTAATGAAATTTTTTTATTTTTCAATATTACTGAAAATATCTATTTTCCAACCCGTCATAACTCTTTTTTAGATCCGGCCTTATCGTTAAATTGTAAACTCAATGCTTACTCAACGAGGGGTTTATTCATTCATTGTGCAATCTGAAATTGTTAAAGTAACAACCATCACACGTGAATGCTCCAGAACAAGTTGGAGGTACACTTCACTTAAAAGAGTTTTGCATTTTTCTAATAATTGTATTAGAAAATTGCAAAACTCTTTGGTTTTATTCAGGTTTCACTGTACAGTTTTGTTAATTATTTATTTTTACATCCTATAAAATGAATACAATGGTGCCTCGTACTTCCAATTTAATTTGTTCCAGGAGGCCGTTCGAACTCTGAAGTCCGAATCAATTTTCCCATTAGACATAATGGAATGTAAATAAATTATCAATTCCCAGACCCTAAATAATACTAATTTCAATAAACTTAAAACAGTAAATGCACATAACTTAAAGCAAAACTAAAACAAATAAATGCACTAATAATAAAACACCAGAACAAATACCACACATGTACCGCTTTCATGTTTCGCGATAAATTTCTTTATCTCAATCGTCGATATTACAGCCTTCTCCTTATTTATTACGCTTCGTTGCTTCCATACGCTTCTCTGGATGCCATGGTTATTAATAAGTAAAGGTTATATTTATTGGCTTGAACAGAAAGTTTTTGCATATTTTTAACATGTATTTATTTAACGTAGATGTACAGTACTGTACGATTTAATTATAACAGTTGTAAAATTTAGCACATTATTACTAACTTAAGATTGTATTCTATATTTAGAAGCTTATTTTACGCTTCGAGCACATTTTTTTTTCACTACACGCAGCGTACTTTGAACTTTGAACACTTTGAACAGCGTACAATACTTCGGACTTTGAAGCGTCATTCGAACTCCATAGCGAATTTTCATCGAATTCAGCGAGTCGTTCGAAGTACGAGACACCACTGTACATTTAAATATGTCAAAATTTTACCTATTTTTATTTGAAATGTGCTGTTTTTAAAAATATATTAATTTTACGTCTAAGACATTTATCCATTGTGAATTAGTCCAGGCCCTCAATGGGAAAGTTCGTTCGTTTGCGGCAACGCAATACTTGTGCGATCTGCCTAGAGGGGATGCCTTCCGGGAGGTCTTTTTAAGGGTAACTGGCCCCTATTCAAGCGTTACAGATGTGGAGAAAATTCGGTAAACTCCACGTGACCAGCCCCTCCTGGCAAGGCGCGAACCCACGACCGAACTCCCAGTGTTCAGGGAACGGAACTGCTTGGCCACTGGTGGGCCACAATGGGATGGACAAAACTAACTCACCGGTGCTAAAATTCATGATGAGTTTTCTGCAGAAAATGTATCGAAAGAAACTTCTGGTCCAACGGCACATGCTAAAAGAAATGCTACAGACGGAAGCGTTTGGAGCGCTTGACATATGTTCATAGAGGAACGTATATTTATAAAAAAAAATCCACCAGTGACCGAGCGGATAAAACAACTGAATACTGATAGTTGGTCGCGTATTCGCGCCTCACCAACAGGCTGGAGTTTTTCAGGTTTTTTTTCACATATATAACACCTGAATAAAGGCTAGTTTCCTATCGAAAGTTATCTTAGGAGGCAACCGCTTGGCAGATGGCCCACGTGTTTGACATCACAACCTTGTGATTACGACTTTCTTTCTTTCTTTTAATTGTGCCTTCAACTCTTGTCTTTTGCATTACCAGATAATATAAACATATTTTTTACAGATTAAAATTAATAATAATCACACCCACATTAAGCTTGAAGAAGCAGGAAAATTAAATGATAAAGTTGAAAGTGTTCGTGTAGGCAGTCCTGTTAATATCAGGCCTATTTATAGGTCTATCTTGTCTATGAGTCTTGACTCTCATTTATTAATCTAGCCTCCCAATGATTTATTCTTGGCTACAGGACTGGTCTAGGCAACCATCTGGAACTACTTGGGATGGACCACCTGCTGACACATAACCCTCTCAATCATAAAACAAGATCATACTGTATAGGCTATTGAAAAATAACATTTCGTGTTAATTATATATACAGTGGATTTTCGATCTATCGTTTATATATATAATATTCTAATCGTTGATTACGTCAGAGCCAAATAAAAGTTCTCAGCCTACCTAGGAGCTCAGCCTAATTGTCAAAACGTATAAAACAATGAAAATAAGTTGTTAAAAGAATTAACTCTATCTCTGATATACTCAAATTTACATCAAAATAATTATTTGGATGCAATTTCAAAAGGATAGAAGTTAGAATATGGAGTTACTCTCACCATTTTCTCTTTTGCATCGAGTTGCTAAATTGACGAGTCCATATTACTACTGTTTTCTAAGGCTTCGCGATAATCGTGTCCACCAGTAGCCGAGTGGATAAAACTACTAAACACTCGCAATTATTGGCAGGTATGCCCCTCGCTAACGGCCTTCTCACGTGGAATTTTCCAGGTATTCTTCACCTCAGTAACACCTAAATAGGTACCAGTTTCCCATTTAAAGACGTCCCGGAAGGCAGTTTCCCTTTTCAGTTTGACCATATGTCGCGTTGCCATAATTGAATAAAACTCTAACTCCAAGATAATCTTTATTTTCCTATTATATCAATGAAATTATACATATTATTCAACATTTATCAGCTTTCAAAGAATATAGCCGCTGATTAATATGGCCGCTGATTAATTTGGCACGGATATAATCAGGATGATCCTCGCTCTTCTCGACACTGAATGGAACTTGAATGAAAGTACCAGAAAAATCCCAAAGACGTTTTGCATTAAAAATTTACTTCCACGTTTATTTTTACTTGGAAGTTTTTATAAAAGAATTAAAATATGAAGTTTCCATTTACACGTTAAAAAATTAAAGTTATAATAAAATACTTAAAATGTGTTATAGGCCTATAAACCTTAATTTTATCTATTCTCTACTAATTATTTTTTTATCTACATCGTGTATTTTTGGGACGTTTAATTAATCAATATCTTAGTTAATAATACTATCTTCTAATGAAATATAATAAATTACTTTCTGTAATATAATTTTTTATTCGTAAAATTACTTCGTTGTTTATTGAGGATGTTATAAAATAGATGATATCATCGATGACAATATTCTACGCTGAAATAATTTGTTATTGGATGCGACTTCCTTCGATTTTTTTCACGTTAAAGACAACAGGAAACAGCAAATTTGTGATGAATTGTTACTCAAAAGTGGAAGTGAATGTGATATAATTGTATAAGAGTGATCAGATAGGCAAATGTTTTAATCAAGTTTTTATTTGTAATATTTATAAATTCATATACAGTATTTTGCTATTTATTATGTAAGAGGATAGTGCAAGTTTTAGTGTTGAATGTCTAGTAATTATTATTAAGAAAAAACATATTAAAAAATCTAGTAATAAAATGGGTGTTAGCCTTAATTATTATTTTAGCATTCAGCAGGAAGTTTACTGTATGAAACTGGAAATATTCGAATAAAGTAGGCAAGTTGACATACTTATATAACGAATTTTTATATAAGTTTTACTGTATTTAGACTAAAATTCAGATAATGCTATTTTGAAATATTTATAATATTATAATCAATAGTTAATCATTTATTTCCTAACAGATAACAATATAAACTATTCTAAATTCTAAAAATAATTTTAAATAATGTAATGTATTCGTTACAAAATATTAAATGTCAAATAATTTTTTAATAAAATTATTAATTCTGGAAACTATACACTGTATATAACATGAAATATAATTAAATTTACAAATGAAAATAAATCGCTTCTATTAAAAATTTTAAAAATGCAAATTAAATATTAAATATATAAACTAAAGTAAAACGTAATTATTTATTTAAAATTACTATTATATTTAATGAAAATTTGAAACGAAATTTGTGATAATAAAAAATAGCAAAGACGTTTCTCTAAGGTTTTATTGATCAAATGTGAAACAATGACCCGAAAGAACTGTCGACAAAACGAGCTCATTCATTTTATTCTAACCAGATCTAATCAATAATACGCCAACATTATTCATTCTTTTCGCAAAGTGATAAATCAATAGATAAATCAATAAATTTCTTCAAAATAAATGAACATTTGCTGGACTTAATAAGATCTTTAAAGGGTCGAAAACATTAAAAACAAAATCTACTGAATTTCATAAAGTGTTCTATAGTTTTGCCTTGAAAATCCATTTATTTTCCTAAACTAATTGTTCTTATATAATAAAATTTCAGGCGTTCTCATTTTTATTAGATGATTCGACTTAACTCGTTACTCAAAGTTCTGAATAAATTGGTATTTTGTACCCTTGAGTTATTTATTATTATTTTTTTTTTAATCGCTACAAAATAAATGGATCTAATTATTATAAACGAAAACGTGGAGCTGAGATATTTTTAATTTTAAAACTAATAAATTAACTAAGGATACAATTATTCTAACAAACGCTATGTAATGCTTGGTTAGACATAATTGCTGTCACGCTAAGTTGATTGCCTATTTTTTCAATCTGCGGTAGTTATTGTAGGCAGAATTCGTGAAAACCTTGGCATTATTATCCATCAGAACAATTTTAGATAAGATTCGATTGCTAGAAAACAGAAAGAAACATTATTGAAGATGCACAAAAACAAAATGAGGTCAATGTGTTGTATAGCATGTTCATAATCAAAAATGAGTGATCTTAGGTTCAGTTCCTATAGATCAGACAACTTGTATATTCCGGCTGAACAGGAACAGTAAGAAACTTTTTCAAGAATTCAAAAATTGTAGACGTTATATTAAGAATGCCTAAATAAATCAAGTAAGTTTAAAGTTGATAAATTAATAATTTATATATGAATTAAGTAGGTAATAATTCGTATATATATTTTAAATTCATTTATTAACACCTTTGGCATCCGGCCATGAACAGGATGTTAGAAATTCAAAGTAGTGGATTACGTTTCTTTATATGTAACTTGTCCAAATAGAAAGCATTTCACATTCTCTACAAAATTTTTAAGCAATATAAATCATACAAATTGTCGTCATTGTCATCATACCATTTTATTTTATGATAGTTACGTAATGAAAATGAATGACAGCTAAATAAATATTTTTACTTAAAATAATCGTTTTGTTAGCATAAGCGCCTTTTATTTTGGTATTTCTATAAATAAAATAACTTTTTAAATATAATACTTCAATTTTAAGATTATATTTTATTATGGAGAACATAAATGATGAAAAATGACATTAAATAAAAATGACAAAAAAATGTGATAATGACTATGAACTAGTCATTAGTCATCACTTTAACTTCATTATTTGGTCATTAGTTTAAATTTCAAATGTAGATAATCCATTATTAAAATGAATAATTCACATTTACAATTATGTGAAGTACCGCAAATTTCAAAATTCAGTACTTTCAGTTAATTTCTTTACTTCGTTTATTAAATTTCTACTGTATATGTCAAAACATTTAAAAAAACAAATATGTATAGGCTAAGAATCAAATTTACATTAATGTTAATATTTGTATACATATACAGTATTACCATTATATTACAGTATTTACTTATACGGTAATATAATGATTACAATGCTTTATTATAATTTACTGCTAATTTTATTAATCATTTATAAACAAAAATTTTCAACGGCCGATATATTCTTAAGTTCTGAGGGATTCGGGATCGAATCCGGCAGCCGAAAAACCCCTGGGATTTTTCGTCTCGCATATGTCAGGTCCATCCCTCACCACCCATTACAAGCCTGGCCGAACCTGGCAATAAATATGAAAAAAGAGGGTCCTTTTAGTGTCTGTAAAGTGGAGAGTTGAAAATGAAAACAGAAATCATGTAGGAGACATGCACAAATAAAGAAATAAAAACATTTTGATTCATTTTAAGCTCTTTCATGCAGAAAAGAACTGATATTTACTTAAAAGAATTTTGAAAAATATGATAATATATATAAATTTATTGAATGAAAATAACGTTGGAACATAGAAAATTTTATTATTAAAATATTAAAAATTCGTTACAAGATTTTATAAATTTTTAATGTCTTTATCGCGTTGCTGCCGCTAAGAAAAAGTCCATAAAATTCAGTTATTTCCTGAATGTGAAAATTATAGCATGTATCTTTAACATTTTAATTCAACTTTTTTTTTAAAACAATAATAGATATTTCAATTAAATTTCCATTAAAATTTTTGCGGGATGATTTCAAAAATGGATACATTCGCAATTCTTTTACAATAAATTTGTGTGCAACCTTGACACTCAGCACATACTTTATTTTTATTTTCATATAAATTTTAATTTTATTAAATGTCTATATGTTAATTAAGGTAATCTTTTATACTACGTGACAAATTTACTATTAGGCCTGCTAAAGATAAGAGTAAACAGGACAATTGCCTGAGGAATATCATCCAAAGCAAAAACTGTTTTCTTTAAATAAACGAATTTTACCAAGGATATTATTATTTTTAAATTTGTCTTTTTATAATAATTATGTATAATATGACCGTCTTGCTTATGTAGAAATACGTGAGCCGTTCACAGCCCGGCACACGTATTTGTAAAATTTAACTGACTCGTACAACATGGAATTCATATAAAACGGAATTATCAACAGTGTTATATAGTGTTAACAGGGGGGTCGACTGTATACAAATCTTATAGTTTTATAATTAATGTAACGTCTTTATGTTACATTAGAAGAAATAATCTACAATTTGAGAACATTTATACGCAGATGATTTTTGTTAAACAAGATTTGTAATTTGGTATATCATTTATAATCATTACAGTAAAAATTACTTTTATATTTCAAAATTCTTTAACTAGCAGGCATTGTCAATTGCCAATTAAATTGTTATTTTGCGGAACACGAACTTGGATCCTTATGTTTTCGGTATAAATTTCCTTTCCGTTCTCATAGATTAATGTAAAATCTCGCTGAATTGATCTATTAAATTATTTATTCTATTTCTTCGGATAAGTTAATATCTTTTCTATGTTTTTTTCTCTTTGTTTCATTTGGAAAACTTAGAAAATGGAAATAATTTATCCAAGTATTTGATCATTTTATACTTAATATGGCTTATACTTAAAATAGTTTATTTGAAATTTATTGAAATATCCGTTGAATTCAAAGAATAAATAAAGTTTACATTAAAAATTTAATTTTTTTCTAGTGAAAATTTCAATAGAAAACTAAATAATTTTTAAAATATTTTGAATTATCAATGCTAAACGTTGAGTAATCATTTTATTTTATTATTACGTTGAAAACCATTGAATTGCTTTCAGTTTAACTAAAATTCCGAGTAGTGTAACTTGTCCAAATAGAAAGCATTTCACATTCTCTACAAAATTTTTAAGCAATATAAATCATACAAATTGTCGTCATTGTCATCATACCATTTTTGCTAGAATAACATCACAAATGTTAGTCTGTTCAGCAAAACTTTGCAACTCACTAAAATGTTTATACGAAAATGGACACCTGAGCATTGGTTAAATAACTCAAAATATAAAGGAATAGAAATGAATCAGCTCATAAAATAGTTGCATTTGTATTAGAATATTATCTTCCAAAAGATACAAATATACATGCACATAACTTTTGAAAAACATGTTTGTGTTTTTAATAAAGAAGCCAAAAATATTTTTAAAAATTTAAGAAAACTTGAAATTTAAACTTACTTCTCACCCATCCAGAAGAGGGAAATGGATTTATATTTATAGCATTAAAAAAACCTCAGAAATGTTAAATTTTTATTTTTATCAATTTTTCTATTAAAAACACATTTTCTGTATTATTGATTTGTAAGGTGTAAGGTGAAACACCCTGTATATAAAGATTTTCTGAAGGTACTGTACATGCCATCTGTAGATGAATAACAGAAAATCAAACTCAAAACATATCTAATGAAATATCATGAGAAACCTTAAAATATCTTCATCACTGTAATGAATTTTTATAGAAAATTTAATAATCTGAAATAGAATGTAGAAGTGAATAGATGCTTTTTGATTGTAAAAATTTATGGTTTTGATTTAACTTTATGAAAGATTTTTTAAAATTATCAAAGTTCTATGACAATTTGCCAGAAAGTATAAGTTTATATAAATATTGCTTAGTGCTCAATAAAATGTCATGATGAAAGGTCAAAGATAACAATGTTTTTTATTTGCAGAATATCCAATGTTTACTTTCTTTTTTAGTAAATTCTATGAAAAAAAAAATTATATATATAATATACATGTTTCTTGGAAAAAAATCTATTTAACTATTTAATGTTTTATGATGTTTTTTATAATTTATCTATATATATAAAAATGAATGTATGTGTGTGTGTGTGTGTGTGTCTGTCTGTCTGTCCTTCATGCATTACCACACTGTTTATCCGATTGTCGTGAAACTTTGGGAAGTTAATATACTCCGGCGAAGGTTTGTGGCATAGTACAATTGCCATGAAACTTTGGAAAGTTTTTTTTAATTTTTTAATACACTCCCGCGAAGTACATTTATCCTACGATAGATGGCGCGCATTTACACGAGCATTTGCGCACAGTGTGTTGATTTCGATTTCAAATTGTGAAGACTATTTCCTCCCTTCAAAAAATATCTCTATATATGCATTTGTGAACTGTTATTTATGATATTTATAATAATTTTTGTTTAATCACTTTATTTCAACTGTTTTTTTTTGCTAATTATGTATTCGCTCGAGCTTCATTAAAACCTTAACTGTACCCCGAACAACAACCAAAGTTGTAGGAAGAAATTCACGTATTTTACCGATCTAGGTATCCCCCTTTTCCAAATTTTAATATCGACTCAAAATAATTTAAAAAGACAAATTACAATAAAACGGTTTATTATCCAACTATCAGAAATTTCACAGCATGCCAAGGAAGAAAGGAAGGAGCAATTAAATAATGAAAATTATAAAGGATTTAAAAATATATATAAAAATGGGGAATATCGCACTTCTGACAATCGCAGCGAGTGTGTGGGCTAAATTTGGAGAATCCGTGCTTCTCNCTTTGAGAGCAAATTCCAGATAATAAAAAGTAAAACTCTTAAAATTATAATTTGAATGTCAAGAAACAAAATTAAATTTTTAATTTTATAATTAAAAGATTATAACTATAATAATTTACTTTAAATGTAATGAGATAGGAAATTTGTAAAGAGGAAAAAAATTGTAAAATACTACATAGGATCTTAAATTGATTTATTCTAAATTTTATTAATCTCGAAAATTTAATTTTTATAATGTTCCAGTTTTTACATATGCTGCTGGTATTTATCTAATCTGGCATTATTTATTGTCAATAATTAAAATTGATTTATTGCTTTTTATAACTGAAATAAAACATTTTATGATGATAATCTCAGAAATTGTCATTGGTATCCTTTTAGTTGAATATATTAAAAATTTATTAGTTTTACTGTTATATAAATGTAGTTTTTCCAATTATAGAAATAACAAACATAATTTGACATATTAGTTTTTGGGTTTATTAAGTATAGATATTTTATATACATTCTAAAGCATAAAATTCTATTAACTAAAATAAAAATATATCTTTTATTTCATTGAATTTTATATTTAGAATACCTGTACAAATATCATGGGTCAAGTTTGTAATATTTGACAAATCTGGAAAAAGTTATGTTAACTAAACTATATTGATAATTTTGAATATATCTAATCTGTTATACAGAACCATGTTTGCAATGAATTACATCAACATTTAATTATAATTAATGTCAAAAAAAATAATAATTGAAGTG